ATGAAATAAAAGCCCATGAACAGGCAATCCCTTGTAGGTATTTATTGGAATTAACGATATCTCATTCTTTTAAAAACAGGATAATGCTATTTCACCCTGGAGGGAACTACCTGAATATTTTGAATATATGCAAACTAATGAAAACAAGGATTACTTGACTAAGCATATTAAAATTAAGATTTTGTTCCCTCTTCCTAGCACTTTTAAACAAATTGCCAAAAGCATACAGCAAGGTCAGTTTTAATAAGGTAGAATGGTATTTTAATAATAACTTAAACTTGAGTTAAGCCAAAATGGAAGCCTGGAAAGTTTTCACAAACATTTTTCTACCCTTGGAAAAGTCATCCCTTTCCAACAATTTGGAAAGGGGTATGAAAGTGCTTTTAGCAGTCAGACCCCTCCTCTCACAGAGGGGCAGTTTATAGCTTAGAGAGGCAGAAACACTCTTCTTCTAAAAAAAATAATAATCTTAAGAAATCATAAGTGCAAGGCATTTCCTGGCCTAAATGGACCAGAATGGATGCCAGCCAGGTAAGAGCCTGGGAATGTATTGTTGAAGGTGAGTCAGAGCAGCTGACTGACTAATGGCCCTCTCCACACCCCAGAGAGATGCATAATTATAGGAGAATGGGTGCCCCAGGACCTACTGACTCACACCTGGACTAATTCCATCAATGTCCCACCTTGCCTTCTCTGCTAACACTTACCTTAAGCAACAATTAATCAACATAAGTCTATTCAACCAACCCATTAGCTCTTCTCATCTGGTACTTATAGGGTCATCAAGCCTCTCCCAAGTCATTGTCCATCCCTGGTAAACACATCAAGGGCCCTGGTCACACAGGCTGGATAACGCGGGGGGGAAGGCGGGGCTATTTGCGTTGCTGCAATTAGAGCCACCAGAACACGATTCCATGTGTCGGCGGCATGCCACAGTTCCTTCCCTCCGCGCCTACGTGTCAACGAGGGGCCGGAGGGAAAAGCCATGGCCGGCACAATCACACTGAGGGACTCCAGAGGCAGCCCGTGGCAAACTGGTTGCTAGTACCTTTGAACAGGTAGGGGTTTTTTATAGTGCATTTTCAGTGGTACGCCACGAGTTGGCCACGGGTGCACTCCACTTCCCAGATGTTGCGGTGTGATCACACCTGGAAAATCTGCCATTCAATTGTTGCTCTCCCATGCCAAATTCTCCATGTGAACAGGTCCAAGGTATTGTTTTGGGATCATGTCACCCCAGCCTGAGGATCCGCTTTCCAATATAATTGTGGCAGTCTGCTCCATAGCAGTGGGTGTGTGTTCTTGGATCCATACCCACACCCCACTCCCTTGGGTCTCCTCTCCTCTCCATGAAACACTGGTCATTTTGCTGCTGCCTCTGTGGACCTCTTCCCTCTGAGACTGGTAATTATAGCCCTCCCTTGAAATCTTTTTTCCGCTTTCCACCCTGCCTTTCTCTCTGTGTGTTTATTGTGTGTGAAGTTTGATTTTTACTCTTTTCTTTTAAATAAAAATCTTTTCAGGTGAACATTGGCCTGGTTTATTTTGGGAGTTCTCTTAAATGGAAAAATCCTCATTAACAGAGGTGGAGAACCCCAGTTACCCCCTTTCACGCTGTCTCTTTTAAGCTAATTCCCCCAACTAATTAGTAGACCACCTCTTTGGATAACATAGTGTCAAAATATTTGTGAGCAAGGGAGAGAGCAAAACAATTGTAAGGCAAGTAAAGTGATGTTCTGTCTTTGGCACAATGTACTGATAGGCAAAGAAACTTCAACCACTATGTAACAAGACAGGGAAACAGGGCAAGATGTTCAACAGGTTGTTCTTTTTTCTCTATTCTGAGTAAGGGGCTGTGACATAATCTCTAGCAGGACTAAAAACAACAGTTTGCATCCTATGACTGCATTCTTGGGAGGGACAGTGTCAAATATGGAATATAGATTCCATTACCTAATATTGGTTGCTAAGAGATTATACACAATGAAATGCTTCATTCAGTGCTCATATGTCTGCTTCTAAGCCTGCAGGATTCAGAACATGCACTTGCAGCTCTCCCTGAAATTTTCTGTGTATTCAGCAACTTTAGCCTGAAATCTCCCAAGCCGGTTTAGAGATAAGAGAAATGCTTGGAAGTTGTCTAGGAAATGCATGTGTAGCTGAAGTAACATCTAGGACGAACATCAATCCCCCCTCCCATCTCTGGAAACCAGACTATCCTTTGTCATCCTGATACACATGATACACACTTGAACATCTCTGTGCAGCCAAAGGGAAGTACACACATACACATGAAACTGCCTTATACTGAATCAGACCCTTGGTCCATCAAAGTCAGTATTGTCTACTCAGACTGGTAGCATCCCTCCAGGGCCTCAGGCTGAGGTCTTTCAAATCACCAACTGCCAGATCTTTTAACTGGACGTGCTGGGGATTGAACCTGGGACCTTTGGCATACCAAGCAGAGGCTCTACACTGAGCCACCGTCTCTCCCAAGTGACCATGAATCTACTGAGACCATTGGAATCTTGAAGTTATCAACAAGGACTGAATGAGAACTGGGTGCACCTGCAGTTTGGAGGCTGAGGGAGAAGAACTAAAGAGGTGAAGAAACATAAGAGAAAGGCCAGAGGTACCACAATGTCACCAGCCCTACAGGTGGGGAGCAAAAACAGAACAGGCAGAGTTGTATTTTTCTATCCTCAATGGAGCTCTCCTACTCACTGTGCACCTTCCATCTTCATTAAGGTTTCTTGCTTGAGCAGTCAACTTGTGCGACAACCAGGTGTGGCCTACCTGAACTTTGGGGGTGGATGGGAATGATGCTGGCCTAGGATGTATAAGTAGTTTTAAATAAAGCTTTATCTCATTTTAAAAGGATCCTTGCCTTGGGGCTCTCTGTTTACTGCTGGATTCAAACCCACAAGCTCTAGGGTCTGTTCAACCATGCAGTAGAAGGCAAAAGGCTACAGATTCTATTTTGCATGTAACAGCAGTATACAGGACTGAAAGGGTACAAAAAAGAGAGAGATAAACTTGTGGGAAGAAATTAGGTGAATATTTGGGGCCCTTTTTTGCACTGAAAACTTCTAGCCTTGAAAATTTAGTACAACACTGTGACAGACAGCCCTTAAAACAGGCTTCAGAGTACTGGGAAGTGAAGAGTTAAATCTCCTCAAGAATGGGAAGATTTGAGTGACATGCTACTCCAAGCACTCTGATTGGTCAGCTCTGGCTAAGGGCAGAATTTTTTATTTGCTGGGTACTGAGAGGGAATGGGCATTCTGACAGATTCCTGCTTTGAGGGAAGAGAGACAATTCTGTACCTTAACTGCTGAAAATCTGCTCTGAGGAAGAATTCAGTGGAAGAATTGAAAGAGTCTGAGTCTCAGCCTGTGTTGAAAGCAGTTTTACACAGACACAAGACCTGGGAATGAGATTTGGCAAGGCGGTTGGGTAGTGAGATGAGACTCCCATTCAGGCCAAATTAAAGGGTGATGTATCTTCTAGGGAAATAAGAAGAATTCTCACCCAGTTAAACAGGGAGAATTATCTCTGAGAGGAGGAGATTCCTGGTCTGTTGTGAAAGGGAACTGCTTGAGACACCTCAAGAGTTAGAAATTAGGGATTAAAAGGAAGGGAGTTAGGTACTAAGGGAAGGTACCAGCCTCAAGGAAATAAGAGGAGAAATAGAAAACTCTAATAAGAAGCATTGTAGTGTTTGGAAAACACAGGGAAAAAGCTCTCGGTATTAAGATCTCAATAACTAAGAAAATAATCTTTAATCTCTAATTTGTCCATGTAAAGAATTACAATCTGTACCACCACTGATTTTTGCCTCAAAGTTAACAATTCCTGATTACATCTGACCCTCCCCTGTCTTTTAAATAAAATATTTTGTTCTGTTTGATTGTTACATTGAGGAATTTCAGACAGACGATATAATCCAGAAGAGGAATGGTTCCCAAACGGTTTCTGGTCTGTCATTTCAGACAGAACCATTTTAAAACCGGTTCCCTATCGGAATATATTTGTAATTTCACACACAAACGCTTCTGTCCCATTTAGGAAATGGGGCTGAAGCGTTTTACCTGTCAACCACTTCCAAGTAGTTTTCAGTTTCCTCTCCCAGTTCCGATGCACTTTTTCCTGCCATTTTTCACCCGCGCGGGCGATCGCCGGCTTTTTTTTTTAAGGTCGCTTTATAGTGTTATAGCGCTATAACGCTATAATGCAACAGCGTTATATCAACCCCATTGGAATGCCTGGAGTGTTGTGTTATAGCACTATAGCGCTCTAAAGTGAACGTTCCCCCCCCCCCAAAAGCCAGAGATCGCCCGCGCAGGCAAAAAGCGGCAGGGGAAAAGCGGTGCAGTCTGAAATGGCAAACCGCTTCAGATCCAGCTCTTTACCGGAAGGGGAAAGCCATGTGTGAAATGGCAGCCCTATACTGGTTTACTTCACAACGGATCAAAAACGGCTTCAAAACGGGTTAAAAAGGGTAATGTGAAATTCCTCATTGTCTCAAGTGCCATTTGAAGGGTTCAACCCAAGAGGGCTCCTTATTCTTCCCTCAGGTCCCAGGGCTGGGCTAAAAGCCAAATTATTTCTCTGTGACAGGGTGGGACAGACAGTGTTTTAAAGACAAAGAAGAAAACCACGTTACTTTGGGTGGCTTAGTCACAGAAGGGAACAAAATTTTGGGAGGGAAAATCTATCTCTGAGGGAGGGAAGTGTGATGGGGCATCATAAACACTACTAATCAGGTAAGAAAAGAATGATGGGAAAGGGGTTAAAACAGCAGCCTTTAGAAGCTAAGGAATTAATTCAACATTTCCAACTTTATGACTTGCAAAGCAAGAATGTTAAGCATCAAGAATAAAGAAAAGAGTGGTTTAAAGAACATGTGATATGATCTCTTCACAATCTAAAGCAGGAATCTGGAATAGATGGGAAAGTGGAGGAGCTTAAAATGACATAGAACTCTCCCAAATGCTTACAATTCGGACTGCTTCCGCAGCTCAGCCAGTTGGTGGAGGCGCTTGAGTGCTTTTTCCTGTTTCTTTTCATCTTTCCAGGATTTTGAAGCCACATTCCGAGCAAATTCCCTTTGTTTGAGCTCCTTCAGTCTCTGGGTAGAAGAGGAAACATAAAAGACTGTGAGCTGATTTTACCATGATTATGTATCCCACTTTTCACACATGATCAACATAACGGGGAAAGAAATTTTAAAATTATTCAAAAAGAACTCTGAAAATATTTTTTTTTGCCAGAAAACAGAAGAGGGACTGGCAAAGGTTGTGAACCAGAGTAGTTGGCGCATGCCAAAGTTTTGGGGGAGTTTTGTTTTTCAGCAGCTGGAAATATGAAACCTCTAATCTGCATTTTTTGGCCGCTCAAGGCAAGGTAGTCAGGATGTTTTGTTCAGGGGGCATTTAAATTTTTAAGCGGGGTGTTAAATTACAGTTAATTAATCTGAATGCCTGTCTTTAAAGGGGGAGGCTCTGAGCCTCTTTCTAGCCCTTCCTTCCAAGGGACAGGGCAGCGAGACCATCAGTTCCTAGGAAAAAACAACTCAGAGGGCATTTAATTGCCTTCAGAAGGCATTTAAATGCCTTTTGAGTTCCCTTCCACGGGGCCAGAAAGCTTAGAAGGGTACCTTCAGTACATCTCCAGCAACCCCCCTTTCTGTTAGCTCAGTACCACCTAGGTTATGGTCAAAAATAAGGTTTCTGGCATGGCTATTTGTGGGGCGGGGCTTTTAATTAAGAGGGCAGGGCCCCCAATGCCTCAGCGTAGCTACAGGCCTGGCTCAAGGAATCTGAAAAGACATTGCAGTTGAAACAATCAATGGTGCATGCGCACTATTTTCTATGTAGCACTAATGTCATAGGCAGGGGCTTCATCCAGGGATCTTATCCGGCCCATGAGCAACTGGGCATTACCTTTAATGCCAGATGACAGAGGCTGTGCATTATGTCCCTGTATATCATCCCAGTGCTAAAGAGTAATGGGCAGTGGAAGTGGGAGGGTGGGCATCAGGGAGATATACTTGAAGGAAATACTATAAGAGTGTTAATGATTTAAGCATGTTTGCATTTTGAGTAAAAAATAATATTGTTAACTGGGTTTGCCTGTGTCCTTTATAAAGTTTATATCTCCATACCTGGCATTACATTTTATGGCACACATGGTCTGGCCCGACAAAGTGACATTTATGTCAGATCTGGCCCTCATAACAATAAATTCGACACCTCTGTTGTCAGCAGTAGGAAGTAGGAAGTAGATGTCCATCATTACTACTGGCATAATTCAAGGAAATTGATAGTAGGGGGGGGGCATATTTACTTAGGAAAAGCATTCTGAGATTTGAGCTCTGGGTAATGGCAATTTTCCTTCAATAAAATCACTGCCCAGGAATCTCATGGGGGAAAGTATAACCAGGAATTACCATAGGACAGAGAGATGGGACAGCAAAACTTTCCTATGAAACATGGGAACAAAAAGATGTAAACAGTGTTCAAATCAGTGTGCTGACTTCTGCCTTCACATACAAATTAAACTGTTACCAGATGATTACATTAGCTAAGAGACAGACAGACAGACAGACAGACAGACAGACAGACACACATATATACACACTTCAGACAAAAGAGGAGGGGGGTGAAAATTGATGAGACAAATTTAAATAGTTGCACTCAGAAGCATTTTTTAAAGTATAAATTCTGGGCCTGGAAATATACCCCAAGGAACTAGTTCAATATGTCTCATAGTGTTTATCTGAATGACGTAAAAAAAAAAAAAGTAATGATCTGAAACCACCACCAGAATGTGCGTTTGAGAAATGGAGAATGTGTACACAAAATATACAATGGTAGCATTTGTCTGGCTAAACAATTAGGCAAAGTTGCTAAGCTGACTTTTTATCCTAACAAGCACTGCTGAACAATATCAGAATAATTACAACCATATATAAGGGCGCTCAACCAAGATAGTGAGCCTGGGAATTAACAGACGTTTAAGTGTGCAATTACCTTTTTCATGCCATTAGGTACCTAACTGGCTGGCTAAACTTAGTCACATGTGCCAAATTATGATTTATTTTACAGAATTCTAGCATTTTTTAGTTTGATCATGGGAACACACACTGGGCAAAGGGCATAAGATTGGAGGCAAGGACTGTTGCATCAGCACAACCTGTAGCATCACAATAGCTCACAGGGGATATTGCACAAACACAGTGAATGCCACTAGGCTTGAACTATCCATGCTTACCCTGTACAGCACTAACTGGTGTGCAAATATTCAGCACAAAATACCCTGAAACGTGTAGTAAGGCAAGTTGGCAGGCAGGAATGTACTGGATACGATTTCCTTGCACACTGTCCTTTGGCCACCACTTAGGATTGCTTCAAATCCTATGTTAGTGCTTCCCCATTAAAATTGTGGCATTAGCAACGACTCACCATGTGTGTAAATCAGACCATGTGGAGCACTTCCTTGCTAGTACCACTCATTCTTGGTGGCTGCTCATACTAGCATTGGGCATTCAAAGGACAAATGTCTACATTATGGCTTCCATGTGGAAGCATCAGCATATTGAACTATTTTAGGCAAGCACACAGGAGGGAACCATAAGATCTGAATGAGTTATGAGCCAGCATCATTGACACAACCTTATGTACTTTTTCATATGCCCTAGTGAGCAATTATAATAGGATGACAACTGACAGTTTCTTAAATATTAACATCTGCATGCAACGTCTAACTACTAGCATCTGAAATACTAACATCTGCATGTCCTCTCCTTTTCATTACTTTATAAATTACATGTGTGCAAATGTTCAAGTGGGCTTAAGAGAGCTTAAGAATAAATTGGTCTTGATGTTCACTCTCTGACCTTCTTGCCTTTCAGAACACATCTAGTTCCCCACCCCAAGAAAGCTCCTCTGGTGTCTGTGGAATGCCTCACCTGTGGATGATTCAACACCCTGCTACTGCACAGGCTGAGTGTAAGGTACCATTGGTTGGTTGAATGCCACACCAACTTCCTCTTTATCTAGTTTCATCTGGTAGACTGAAATGTAGCCAGTTAACCAGTTTCTGTACTCAGGAAGTTTACAAAAGTTCAGGTCTACCTTACTCTTTCTTGCTGGCTAGAGTGGGACACCCCATTCTGTGTGTCACCATTACTTCTTAAGCCATGTCAATAGAACAAGCCCACTGATCCAATAAAATGGGCATTAGCTTCCCTCAAATGCTCTTCTAAACATCTCAGGCTTACAGGGTTTTCTAAGACACAAGGCTAGATGCACTCCCCACATTTTTTGGTAAATTGTTCCATAAAGTTGACATCACCATTCAGAGCCCATAATTTGGCAATGGCATATCTCACAAACCAACTGGAGGGAACAATGCAAAGGAAATGAGCCTCTTTGGGTTCCTGTTGAGGAAAAAATGGATGGATGGATGGATGGAAGGAAGGAAGGAAGGAAGGAAGGAAGGAAGGAAGGAGAGAAATACCTTACAGATTTGTACAGGGAGAGATGGTCCTTTAAATTATCTGCCTTGGGGATTCAAAAATGTGGAAAGGGGGGCTATAAGTGTTCTTAATAAATGATAAATAGAGCCAGTAGGTGTGCAGGGTAAGATACCGGATGGGCAGGAGAAGCCTGGAGAACTTAAATGGCCATCTTGCCCACAAGGAGGCAGTAGAGTCTAACCCATCCAACTTGATGGATCCATCCAGAAAAGATCCATCATCTAGAAGCCTTGAAATGTAGGAAATAGTGTTGTTATGGGGGAGGAATCCTTTCCTAATATTCACCTTTTTAGATATAGCCATCAATTCTTCTTATTCTCTTTTCTCTCTTTTAAAAGAGTGAATTCTCTTTCATTTCTCTTTGATTTCTCTTTGGAAAGACATCAGTGGCACCTTTTTGTGACTTTCAGCCCTTCCAGTTGTTTATGCTACGCACCACAGGGTGGTGCTCTAGCAGAAGGACAGGAAAGTTTGGGAAGACATTGCCTGCCTCTGAGCATCTACAGAATTAAATTCCAAAATTTTGCAGAACCTCCCTTCCTCCCCTTTCTCCCTTCAAATGTCTTTTTGATCAAAATGAAATTGACAAGAAACTGACTCCAAATTCCTTTAAAAAGTGGAAAAGAAATTGAGAAATTGGGTAAAGAGGAATTAAAAGAATTTCTCTTAGCAACCCTAAAAGGAAGTCACACTAACCTTTCTTTCTCTACAGCTCTTGGCCTAAGTGGGGCCAAGAACAGTAAAGGTTTCTATTGGGCTGATCAAGACTATCAAGAGACAACACAAGCTCTCATGAACAGCCTCGACATAACTTCAAGCCAAAGTGACCAAAGTCCCTGGAATTTTGTTTCTGTAGTCTCTTCCCCTCTCAAAAGCCTTGGCTGGAGTGAAGAGAACTCTGCAATGTATTCATGCCTAGGGAAGATCCCCCTTTCTTAGTTGGACCATTCGACACCCCTGCCCTTCCTGTAAACTAAGAATGGAGCTTCACTTGCCTGGAACAGCAAAAGTCCACACCATGACTGCTGCATATTGCATGGACCCTCACTGCTCTCTAACCTCCACAAGAACAACATGAGCATCTGCCACCAAGCCAGCCAGAACTGAACAATGTCTTCTTTCTTGGCTTTTCCGATCATCCCCATGTTCACAAGTAATTTTTTAAAATAATCACACTAAGGATTATGGGGATTATTTTAAATATTAAAAAGGCCAGGTGACATCTTTTTTATAAACTCTGTTCCAAAGCTGGATGTACATCTTCTGAACAAAGGTGGTGTATTGAGCATGGAGCGGCCAACAGAATTTTAAAAAGGGGTTTCTCTTTCTTTTTCTTAAATGTATATAAACTGTAGAATAACACAGTCGAACGAATAACGTTATTTGTAAAATGAGTTCCCAATCCCAGCCATGAGTATGATGAAGTTATTAAAAAGCATAATTGGAGGGGTGTATGTCTAAAGCGTACAGTGTTCGCCATCTAAGCAACTAGCAGAAAGAGCAGGGAGAGAATTTGCTTTCACCATGGTAACTGGCATTCTAAAAATAACTTTGAAAAGGCTATTACTTTTCAGGATTAAACATATGAG